TTGTATTTATTACCATATTGTGCATTGGCGATGTGTAGGGGGTGCACGCAGGTGCATGTGCACCCCTGAGATTGGTGGTGCACCCCCTGAAAGAAGCTCTGCCAGCACCTGCGGCCACCCCTTTTGTTGCTGACACCTCAGGTAGTATCTGTGGTCGGTTGCTGATCGCCTCTGGCTGCCGCCGCCAGCGGCATCTGTGGGTGGTTGCTGATTGTCGTTCGGCGCTCCCCTCCTGACTGCCAACACTGCCACAGCCACCTGCAGGACCTCCCCGTTTGCCACTGCCATGCCCCTGCCACCACTGCTGCCTGCAGGCGGTTGCTCTGCCCCCCCCCCGGCCTCCAGGGGCATGCATCATTCATGGTATTGTGTACTCCAAACATATAATTTAAACATGTTCGGTAATTCTGCTTTTCAGTTCTGGTGTTCTTTTTGTAACTTTTAAAAAGGAGCTTTTTAAAAGGAGCTAATGGAACACTATTTCTGAAACCCACTGCCACTGAGAGAACTTACTAAGTATAGTATGCAAAGCATACATCAAGTTTTTATATTTTCATCTTCATTGAGCTTTCTCTTTCTTTGTATTGCATGAACCAGGCCTCAAGAACTACTGCTGTTTTGTTTACCATGTTGACTTTTTCAAACTAGCTACTAGCAACATCTTGATAAAAGAAATATACATAGGCAAGCAGAAAAGTTTCCCATTCAAATATACTGCATTTGGCTTCCTTCCATTCCTTGCCTGCTCTATGACGGTATGCAAGCTGTGGTTCTCAGTAATAGATCTATCACAGATCCTTTTGAGATTAAAATGGGAATTAAGCAAGGTTGCATCATTGATTCAGCACTCTTCTCTATTCCTTGTCGCAATGATACATCTGACTACCAACAAGCTTCCAGCTGGAGCAGAGCTAAACTACTGAATGGATGGTAAGATATTTAACTTCATCCAACTCCAAGCCAAAAAAAGCAAGACCATCCCAACCTCAATAATTGAGCTCCACTATGCTGATGATGCTATAGTGCATGCTTACCTGGAAGCAGACCTTCAGATAATTGTTGACATCTTTACTGAGGCATACAAGAAAATGAGACTGATGCTTAACATTCAGAAGACTAAGGTCCTCCACCAACAAGCCCCTAATGAACAGCCCCCAGCCCTGGTAATCCAGATCCATGGTGAGACTCTGGAGAACACTGAGTATTTCCCATACCTGGGAAACTCTCTCGCAAAAGGCTGATACCGACAAAGAAATACATCACCTCAAATGTGCAAGTTCAGCCTTTGGATGCCTGCAGGAATATGTGTTCAGAGACATCAGACCTGAAACCAAGCTCATGGTTTATCAAGCAGACATGATCCCACCTAGCTGTATGGAGCTGAGATACAGACAGTGTACAGGAGACATCTAAAGTTGACATCAGCGCTGCCTGCAGAAGGTCCTCCCAATCTAGGAGAAAGACAGATGCACCAATGTTAGTGTCCTCCTGTAGGCAAACACCACAAGTATTGTGGCAATGATCATCCCACATCAACTTCATTGGGCCGGCCATGTCATCCAGATGTCCAACTCCAGACTTGCAAAGCAAGTTTTATTCTCCCAGCTCAGCCAAGGCGTACACTCAAGAGAGCAGAGAAAACACTTCAGGGACGTCCTAAAGGCCAACTTAATAAAGTGCAACATTGATGTCATCTCATAGGAGACTATTGCCCAGGACCACCCCAAATGGAAGAAGAGTCTGCTGCAGGGACCTCGGTACTTTGCAACCTCATTATAGCAACAGGAGATGGAAAAGCAGGAGAGGCAGAAACAGTGTGTTGTGGACCAAATCAAGAATCCAGTGCCACCCACCCCACACGGAATCACATAGCTGAGCTGCAGTAGAGTCTGTCAATCCCAGATAGGCCTCATCCGCCATCTTCAGACACACAGATAAAACAATAAACCTTGACTGTGAGGGACTGCAGAAGATTTGGCTTCCCAATCATCTGCAGAAACTTAAATCAGATGTCTGCTGTTCAGGTTATTTACCTATTTAAGAAATCTTCTGGCAATTTTATCAAAAGGAAATTGGAAACAAGATGGAAAACTGTAAGAGCATTGAAAAGAAACAGCTTACAGTACTGGGTCCTTTAAACACAAAGGCTTCCTTTCTCTTCAGGGTAGCCTCGCCACTCTCCACATGGTGCAGTATACAAAACAGCAAGTAGACAGCTTCCTGACAGCCTTCTTTAACCATATGGTACCTTGTGTCAGCATTGGTGGTCTGATATTACTACTTGGGTTAGAGAATACATTTTGTTCTTAGCATGTAGTTTATAAGCCATCAATTATAACTGGTGGAAACTTCTCTTCCATGTGTAATCCCATTGCCTTTGCATTCAAATTTTAAAAATAGTCTTTCAGAAGTTCAACTGGAAACGAATTCAGTTGAAAATGCTGGACCACCCCAGCCCTGATCATTTACTGTAACTCTTTCTGTAAGTTTATTATATGGAAGTGGATATTTGTTGGGTTTTATTCGTAACTTCGATTGCCAGTTCCCAATACAAATTTTAAGTTATCCCAGAATACTGTACAGTTTATGTGAAATACTTTTGACTACTGCTCTATAGTCTTTACATGGATGGCTCTATTATGTGATGATAGGAAAACAGAAATTATTAGCAGTTAGAAGCTAATTAATCCTAATTGTTGTATTGTAGTGCTTTCAGATCATTCGGGAAACAAGGTCAAGTTCTTTTTTTTTTTCTTTATATATAGATATGAGTGCAGGTGTGCAATGAGAAGCTTCTGTGTACTAATAAGTGCCTCAAAAATAATTAAAAATGAAATATTTGGATTACATACAGTCCTGGTCCTGCAGTCTGTTCTATCTACGGTTCCAGTGATGTCAATCAAACTGGAACAGAGCCTAAATTTAGGCCATCACCTTGTGATGAACTCTACAGGGAGGCAGAGGTATGTCCACATCGAGCATTGGTATTATCATGGGCATCCTTTCCTCTGCTTGTCTAGAGTAATGTCGTAATATTTGTATTGGCAGAATTGCAGGAAGAAGTTCAAGCCTGGGGGGGAAAAAGTTTAATTTTAATTGTAAAACGAATGCAAAAATACTAAAATCTGGATGCAGCTTTAAGTGTCAATGACTAGAAAATACAGCATAAAGTGAGGGAAACCTGTATGTGTTCCTGGAAAATGGCGCATAATTCAAATTTTCATAAAGGGAACCCACTTTACAATGTAACAAATAGGGATATGTTCCAGGACCTCAACTGTACTGACCTCCAGACCCATTTCTACCACTTTTACAAGACAGTTTTGGTACCCACCAACAGCAGACAGTACACACAAGCACAGGGCACTATCCTAATGGGGATGGCAACCACAGAAACATGTGCCTCAGACAATGAGTGAGGAGCACAGATCCACACAGGAGACTATATTTTGGTGCATGTCACTACCACAATCATGAGTGACTGGTGCCTCCTGAATCTGGGGGGGCACCTGCAGAAGCCACCAACCCTGTCAGGGGGTGCACCAGCCCTACCGACAGCTTCAGTGTCAGCCGTTGGGGGGGGGAGGGGGGGCCGTCCCCATCGGGGGGGCACATGCACCCCCATGCATCCCCTACCAGTTGCCTATGCCCACAATGTACTGCACAAGGCAGCTGACTGCAGGCTTCCACCCCACCGATCACATAAGAATGAATTTACCTTGCCTATAATGAATTTTTAGTATAAAAGAGGCCATTGCATAAGAGTGAATTTGCACATGCAGAACCCTCATGAAGTGAGGGAAACCTGTACCTATATTCCATAATTATGGAAACATGTCTACTTGTCCAATGAAGTAAAAGGAAAGCTAGAAACAAAGCCATTGCAAAAATGCTAGCTAGAAGGCATGGCGCTGTAACCTTTCACAGAAAACTGTAGTAACGTCTCCCTCAGGGCAGCAGCAGGTTGTCTCCCTCAGACCTGAGGGGCCAGCTGCTGGAGGAAAACATACTGGGAAAGCAAATCCTTTATACTGGAAGCTCCAGGTATGGCCTTTCTTGGCGAGAGGTGGAAAGGGAAAGAAAGACACGAAGGCTCTGAGTTATTTGCTCTTTGGAGATGGAGGGATGGGAAAGTTTTCCTAGCTACAGTGACTTGCATGACAGGTGTAAGGTGCCAAACACAGGTCTGCGGCAAAAAGGCACGTTGCCAAAGCGGACAGTCCGGCGCCAAGGGAGGAAAACACAGATGTGCACTTGCCAAGCGGCAAGGTAGGGGGTTTGCAGCCAGGCCTGCCTCTGTCGAGACTTTCCGAGAAGCGACAGTGGCACCTCGTCCCCCGACCGGGCCGCAGCCTCTGCTCCATGCTTCTTCGCTCCTGCAGAGCATCCCCGTGGGGGGCGCACCCACACACGGGGTTTCCGGGCTTGTGCTGAGCCAGCAAGGGCCCCTGACACTGCCGTGCCCCCGCAGCCAGGCCCTTCACCGCCCCTGCCAGCGCCAGCGCGACTCGCCCCGTGCCTCAGTTTCCCCGTGGGTCCCGGCTGCAGGCGGAGGACCCCGGGGCGGGGGGCGCGGGCTCCTCTCCCCGCGGCGGCGTCAG